ATATATATATAGTTTTGCGTAATATTTATTATACCAAATTGTATTTGTTGATTATATTGCTTAGAATCTGAATCTGCACAGTAACTAACGTTATGTAATACAGTGGAGTAAAAGTAGAAGTAAAGTATGAAGTAACATACAGTTGAATGAAAGTAAAAGTAGGCTACCTCAAAATTATTTTAAAGTAGGCTACTTGAGTAAATGTACCAGTATCTGGAAGTGAAGCACCTGTTTTGTGTCTTTTGTTGACACCTAAGCATATAAGTTGTTTTAGTTTGTATTGATATAGCAACAACGCAAGGCTAAGTGCTAACTCTCAGGGCTTTATTTCTCCTGTCAAGGTGGTGCACCTGCTCACATCAGCTCCGCCTCCACCACCAGACCCCCCCCTGCCTGATGACTACAGTACCCAGGTCGCACCGCGCCGCCCTCCACTCTCTCTCTGCGCACAGTCCGCCTGACTCGCAGAACCAGTTGGTTTGGCCCAGCTTCTTCTTCTTCTTCTTCTACTGCCTTCTCACTGCTGTGTGTGCTGCTGTTGCTGCCTGGTGGTGTCAACCTCCGCCGAAGAGAGAAGAAGAAGAAGGCATATCCCTCCCTCTCCTCTGTTTCCAATTTGCCTTCACTTTCCTCCTCGCCGGCTCCATTGGCTTCCGTGCCGTGCCAGTCAACTCGCCTCCTTTCTCCCAGCCCCGAGTTGAGCAGCAGCAACAGCTCGGAAACATCTGGCCGCCGCAGAGTGCCCGTCCCTCCGCCTGCTCACCTCGGCTCGGCTGCCTGTTATGGAAATTAGTCCAAAGTCAATCTAGTTTTGTCTCCGGTGGGAAAAACGAAGGAGGATTTGACGAAGGAAGACGTTGGACCGTGTTGTCTGTAAGTCTTAATACCGGAGTCCGATTAAAGGAGGATCAGGAGGGGAGAGGGTGGGTTAAAAAGTGGCTAAACCTTCCTTAGCATTACTGTGTTGTCTCCTCGCACTTATAGTTGCTATGTTAGCCGTTCGCTGTTTTAACGGCTGTTGTCATAGCACCGGGGCCTTCAGAACTGTAAATAGCGCAACATTGTAGCTTCTTCGTGTTCGATTTACTTTTGTTAGCCATGGTTGAGCTACAGCTAGCTGCGTGTGTGTGTTTCTTTCTGTGTTTGTTGTGTCTTCTGCGAGGAAATTCTTGTGTTGTCACAGCTCTGCCTCACGTTACTTTGACTTTTTATGCTAATTTACAAACTGTCAGCGTCGTGGTTGACTATCTAGGGCTGATTATTATTAAGTTAACGCATGTATTAGGGGGACAAAACGTATTGACATAGGTGGAAGAAGTACTCCGATCTTGTTCTTAAGTAAAAGTAGAAGTACCAGAGTGTAGGAATACTCTGTTACAAGCAATCAAAATGTTACTCAAGTAACAGTTGAAAAGTATTGGCATCTAAGTATACTGTACTTAAAGTACCAAAAGTTAAAGTACTAATTGTGCAGATTAGCCTTATTTTAGAATCATAAATATATTGAGTTTTGATTATAATTTGTGATGTATTAATGTGTTTAACACAGCTGGTAAAGGTGGAAATAATTGTAATTACTTTATTCAGCAAAGTAACTAAAAGTACTACGTTAATGCAGTGAAGTAAAAGTATTATATTTACCTCTGAATTGTAGTGGAGTAGAATTACAGAGTAGCGAGTACAATTACCTAAAAATTGTACTTCTGTACAGTACTTGAGTAAATGTACTTAGTTACTTTCCACCCCTGCTAATTCATCATTGGACCTGGGTGTGACCAGGTGTTGGATTTAGCGCTGTCACGGTGTTAACATGTCAAACTAAAACAGAAAATGAAATAGTTTTTATGAAGCGACTTTCACTCTGATAATGCTACGTTTAAATCGGGTAATTAAATGTCTCAGACTTTGAAAGCAGGGCTGATTTTAAACATAAGCTTATAACATATTGTAGAAGTTGGATTTGACTGAATATTATCAACAATTAAACTATTTAAAAATATTTGTTGTTGTCGGTTTGTAAGAGAAAACCAGGGAAAAGTTATATCATGCAGAAATGTTTGCGAACTTATAAATGTATTTTATTGCTATTATAAAACAAAGCAAATATAACATGTATTTAGCTCAACACTTACGTGCTTAAATAGCTGCCTTTTTATCGTGTTATCAGTATGCGATAATACTTTATTATAGGCATCTGTATACGACTTTTACACTTGATTAAAAAGGTTTAATTGTTAGATCCGGCCACAATATTAAATCGAAAATAAAAGCAGTTTTCTTCCTATTCTCGCATTTATCAAATATTAGGGAATTCTCACGCTTCAAACGTGACTTTTGTTTAAAAACGAAACCAACCGAGGCGGCTGTAATAAGCTGCTCGTATTGCTTTTGTTTAGGACTTGCTCTCATCAGGTTCTTTATGACTTGTTCTCATTGTTTTCTCATTTCATTTTTGTTCCTGTCAGTTGTCCGAAGGGTCCGAACAGGCAGGGGGGGGGGGGGGGCGATGGGTGGGTGGATGAATAGATTGATGGATGAATGAATGAATGAATGAATACAAGACGAGGCAGCGGCGCTGAACCGTAAAGAAGTGGAAAACAATATCAGCTGCGTGCGTCTGTCAGTTGCAAATATGCTGTGTTTGGCCTTTGTTTATGGTTATTGGAAGGAGACAGAGGCATGGACAGAAGTATTTCAACAATTAGAACAAAAGTGTTTACACGGAACATCTGTATATTCTGTGTAAACTTTCCCGTTTTTGATAAGCAGTTGTGGGAACATTTACACTCCTCTGTTTTACATAAATCAACATCCCACTGCATTTAGTTGACCCGTGTTTTTTTTTCCCAGAGAGAGAAAAGGAGGAGAAACGGAGACAAAGTTGTGTGGTGTTGGTGTTGGTAGAATGAAAGAGGAGTCTGGTGGCAGGAGTGTAGAGGAGGCAGCATATGGCTGTAGAAAGAGCACAGCTGGAGGTAGCATCTCCATCTGAGGATGATGTCAGAGCAGCTGACAGGCTGCCATCCACCCCACCTCCTCCTCCTCCATCCCTCCACCGCCTCCACCCCTCCCCAGTCCTTTATTGTGAGTCTCAGCGGCAGCCTGGGAGAGTTACTGCTGTGTGTGTGTGTGTGTGTGTGTTTGTGGCTGCCGATCAGCGCCAGTTAGGAGGAGGAGGAGGAGGAGGAGAAGGAGGAGGGAGGTGGTATCTCGTTCCCCCTCCAACATCTCCTCCACTTTGCATCTGTCCCTCGCAGTTTGAACAGCGTGGTTTTTTTTTGCCTGCCTCCCTCTTCTTCTTCTTCTTCTTCTCTCCTCTTCTACCCACTCATTGATTCAGAGAGAGCAAGCGAGGAAGAGAGAGAGAGAGAGATACACAGCCATTCCCAGCCAGAGAGCCAAGCTATTCTGCTACAGTGGAGTTAATCAAGTTGATGCATACTGCTGCAGGTATTGTTTTGTGTGTGCATGTTTGTGTGTGTGTGTGTGCGTGTGTGTGTGAGGCAGAGTGAATAGAGTAGCAGAGTCTGGAGTAGTTATTTTGTTGTGCTGTGAGGATCTCCGGTGTGTCAAAGCAGTGTGAGCGCGCTGTGTGAAGCTACTGGTGAGTAGTAAACTGGTGTTTGTGCTGCCTGTCCGAGGTGTAGCTGCAGTCCGGGAAGTCTGCTGGCTTTTAGTTTGTTGTCTGATGAGCTGCATTTTAAACTCAGCTATACTTGTTTTGCGATTTGTTTTGTTTTTGTGTTGTCAGGCGTTTTGTCCAGTCGCTTATTAATTGAAAGCAAAGTTACAACTGAGAAAATGTTATTTTAAATCGAGCTTTGTTATTATTTTTTGCAATTTTATTTATTTTAACATTTTAAAAGAAAAATGAAATCCTAATTAAAATGTTTATTTTTGACATTTTTGACATATTTTAATTCAAAAAAAGAAATTAATAACAAATTTAAAAACATTGTTGAATTCAATCAAATAAATAAGCTTTATTTTCTTAATAAAATACCTAAAAATGTCTAACTTTAAGCCAATATCTGCTATTTAATCCTATTTATCTAAACTGTTTTTTTTTCCCAGTTAATTCTAACTCTGTAAAATTACTTGAAAGCATGTGCGGTCTTTTCTCCCCTCCTGCCGGCTGGAGTAGAGGAGACTAATTTAGAAGTTGCAGATTTGAGCTGCCTGAATTGGCTAGACAGCTGTAATCGCACTCCCTCCTAGTCTTAATCTCTTTATCTGGCTAGCAGCTGCCATATGGCCCCCGTCAGCTGGATCAGATGTGGGTAAGCCTCCCTCCCCGGCCATCCCAGCCTCTCCCTCACCCTCTCTCCCTCACCCTCTCTCCCTCCCTGTGCCTCCGTCAGACCCCTGCCTGCGCTAACTGGCCGTCCTGGCCGGGTGACGGCCTGCTGCCCTCCTGAGCCTCCGCTGACGGCTCCCTCCCCACCACCGCCGTCTTTATTTTTAGCCATCTTTAAGGATTAGGATTGATGCTGTGACGAGCAGGGCACTTACAGTGATTGTATTGTAAATCTTCTCTTCTGGGTGGTGGTGGAGGGGTGGAGGGAGTTGAGGAAGAGGGTAGTTTCTACTACGGGGCGGATGTGCGGGATTTTTTTTCTTGTAATATTCAGATGGTGTGTGAAAGGAGGAGGTGGCAGAGGGGTTTGGCTGGACAGAGGGGGTGGGGGGGGGGATGGAGGTGGGAGGTGGGAGGTGGTACACCCTTGTCCCTGTAAGCCCCCTCATTAAAAGCAGTCTGAACGAGCCGGAGGGCGAGCACACACACATATACAGGACACACACACACTCAGTCTCACACACACATAGGGACATTCTTGGTTTAGCTTCATTCAAATGAGGTGATTTAGCTGCTTTGGTTAACACAGTGCGGAGCGGGACCAATGTATTTTCTCAGGCAGGACAAATTGACTTGGTTAACAGGTGGGACTTAATGATTTGACATATTTCAGCCTTGTAATCACCTTCTGTCAGCTGATATTTAGTTGTGCATTTATTTTATCAATTAGATCAATTACACCTGCAGAGCAGTGCTGCAAGTTTTCAGCCTTTTTTTCCCTCTTCTCTTTACCAATCTTACGCGTGAAGCCGGCGCTCGCAGGTTAAACAAGGGACAAGCTGTTTTGTTTTCAGCTGTGCGATTTCAATTGGCCAGTTTTCCTGCTCGACTTAGCCTGTGGAGGTGGTTGGTAGGTAGGCTGGAACCTAAGTGTGTGTGTGTGTGTTTATATGTGCGGACAGTGTGTACAGCTGAAAGCCGGTTACCTAAAAGGGCTGTGCCAGGCCAGGCCAAAGTGGGTTAATAAAAATAACCAGCGTAGGAGCAGCGACAATCCAGGAGTGCAGGCAGAGGAGTTGGAGAGAAACAGAGAGAGGATCGCAGAGACAAGAATCTGTCGCTGCTGCTTTAACAGAGATTAAGTCTGTCTGAGGGTAACAACTGAATTAGTGATTATTGTTTCATTATTGTAATATTTCTTTAAAGCTAATAATCAGTTTCCTTTTTTCCCCTTTTCTATTTTTAGATTGTAAACAAAGTCAATTATTAATAGAAATAACATCAAGATTTTGCATCGTTGAACGTATGCATGACTTTACAGCTACCTGCGTGGTGTTTGAATTCCAGCAGAAATATTTCTATTAATGTTGTGAGTGATAAGAAATCCTATCTATTACTTATTACTACTATACATATGATATTTCAATATATTCCAAATATGTGGTAATGTTTCTGCATATTTTAGGATGTATTTCTCGTAGTATTTTATTTACATTTTTCAGTGTTTAAAAATGTTATTAATTTACTTCTGTGTCTCAGTTTTTACCGACCTATCTTCTCCTGCTGCGTTTCTTTTCGCCCGCTCGTCGTGTTCTCTGTAGATTGTTATCGGCATCGCATACCATCTGTGACTTTGGCATTTGTCTCCTCTTTTTTGCATATCTGCTATTTTTTTTTAGTTGACCTCGTTTAAAAATAATTTTGTTTGCAGGAATTGCGAAATTATGATAATCACACAGCCACGATTTTTACACTTAACGTGAATTGTATCATACTTTGTCATCATTTTAAAATGATATGAAGTTGTCTTGCCTCTTCAAAACCTTTCCTTTTCTGTCGTCTTTGAATTTAAATTGTCTTTTGCTGCTTTTCCGTTCACGTTTTTGGTTCCTTTTTTTCTTTTTGCGTATTTACCTTCATAGAACAAATACTGAACTCTGAAAATAAACACATTTTTATTGAAAACACAACACTTAATTAAGAACTTGCAAAACCTATTTAATAACCATCAGCTTTGACATCTCAGATCTTTATCAGATGTATCTAACGTTGACTCTCTCTCTCTGTGTGGCTGCAGGTTATGAGGACGGCAAGATGGAGTTCCCAGACCACAGCAGACATTTACTCCAGTGTCTGAGCGAGCAGCGGCACCAGGGCTTCCTGTGCGACTCCACGGTTCTGGTGGGCGATGCTCAGTTCCGGGCCCACCGGGCTGTGTTGGCCTCCTGCAGCATGTACTTTCACCTCTTCTACAAGGACCAGCTGGACAAGAGAGACGTGGTGCACCTCAACAACGACATTGTCACAGCCCCAGCTTTTTCTCTGCTCCTGGAGTTCATGTACGAGGGCAAGCTGCAGTTCCAGGACCTTCCCGTGGAGGATGTGCTAGCAGCGGCCAGCTACCTGCACATGTATGACATTGTCAAAGTGTGTAAGAAACGTTTGAAGCAGAAGTCCCCGACCGAGGCGGACAGTACGCGCAGAGAAGAGGACGGCGGCTCCAGCTGCTCCGATAAGGCCGACAGTCTCTCAGAAGGATCCACAGGCCGGCCTGCTACTGCCGACCTGCTGCCCAGCGACGAAGATGAGGAGGCCAAGGCCGAGCGAGGAGCGATGTGGCTGAGACTGCCGTCTGCAGACAGATCAGGGACGCCAGCCACGGCTACAACCAGCCCGGGGCACACAGAGGCGGAGACCCAGGCTGGGGAAGGATTGAGGGAGGGGGTGAAGCGGCTCTCCCCGGCCGGCAGCCCCTCCAGCTCCACAGGGTCCCTCTCGCAGCGCTCACACCGCTCCGTCAGCTCTCGTGGAGGGCAGCGGGGCAGGAGGGTGTCAAACGATGCAGCCGACTGCGTCCTGGACCTGTCAGTCAAGCCGATCGCCGGTAGCAACCACAGCAATCACCACCAGTCGTATTTCAGCGGGGCAGCGACGCCAGACAGGCTCCAAAGCCCATTGGCTGTGAGGGTGAAGGTGGAGAGGGGCGTAGCTTCGGAAGAGGAAGAGGAACTCGGAGGTGGGGACTATGACATGGAGCACAGCGGCATCACCAAGGCCACAGTTCCCATCACCAATGGGGGCCTCGGGCACCACGGGGTCGGCGGGCCCCTGTCGGCCCAGAGGAGGCTCGGTCTGGAGGCCCACCTGTCTGCTCTGCGAGAGGCCTCCCTGGCCTCAGAGATGGAGCGGGAGGAGAAGCCCTCGGCCACAGCGGACGACGAGGACATACTGGGGGGCGAAAACGAGCGCGCCCAGGCCGAGGTGGCCAGCATGGACAGCGCCCTGCTGCCCTACGTCTCCAACATGCTGTCAGCTCAACACACTCAGATCTTCATGTGCCCGCTGTGCAACAAGGTGTTCCCCTCCCCGCACATCCTGCAGCTCCACCTCAGCTCCCACTTTAGGGAGCAGGAGGGCATCCGCGCCAAGCCCGCCGGAGACGTCAACGTGCCCACATGCACCATCTGCAGCAAGACCTTCTCCTGCATGTACACGCTGAAGCGCCACGAGCGGACACACTCCGGAGAGAAACCCTACACCTGCACCACCTGCGGCAAGAGCTTCCAATACTCACACAACCTCAGCCGGCACGCCGTGGTGCACACGCGTGAGAAGCCGCACGCCTGCAAGTGGTGTGAGCGGCGCTTCACGCAGTCCGGGGACCTCTACCGACACATCCGCAAGTTCCACTGCGAACTGGTCAACTCAATGTCGGTGAAGAGCGAGCCGCTGGCGCTGCCTAATGTCAGGGACTGGGCGATCGAGGACAGCTCGCAGGAACTGTGGAAGTAGAAACACACTGCAGGGTTTGATAAAGGGAAAGAGCGGAGAGTGAAAGAAGGGCAGAGAGGCATTGGGGGGTGAAAGGGAGAAGGCAGAATTGATATGAGGGGTTCAAGAGAGTCATGTTCGTGTGTGTCGCAAAATCTCATTCAATTGCACTTTAATAGCACATGAAAATGTTACTACTGAGTTTTTTTGTTGTTGCTGTTTGGGGTAATTTTGTTTTGTTCTATTTTATTCTGAACTCTTATTATTATTTGGCGTTAAGTTCTGTTTTGGTGGTTTTTATTGCGTCTAAGGACGAGGGTCCCAGAGAGAATGTCTCGCCTTCTGGGAGAGTTTTCACTCCGTTCGTGTTTCATCTCAGACAAAAACACTCCGACGCTGGCCCCAGATCCTCAGACAGCAAACGCCACCGCAAGAGTTCAGGTCGAACACACTGAAGTGGAAAAGCATTACAATACACTAAACGGGTACTGTGATCAGCACACACACACACGGTTTGAAGAAGTGTGTGTGTGATACTGCACTACTCTGGCAAAAATGTCACCTGACGTGCGTGAGTGTGTATGAGTGTGTTTTGTGTGTATTAATTTTATTTTCTACTGGCATGGAGGTGTGGTTGGCGAGGCGCTCCCCGCTTCTCGCTCTTTGGTGGTGTGTGTTCAGGGTAACGCTGACTGACAGACTAACTGATGGCACTCATGCAATGCACAGCCTCCTTTTTTCACTTCCAATCAATTTGAAGTATTTTCTAAAAATGAAAAGACCTTTACAGATTATTATAATAATTATTATTGTTATTAATAGAATTTTTTCTTAAATCTAGCTGGCAGTCTTTAAACCATCTGTTGTTGGAAAGGTATTTAATTTAAGGTTGTTGTATATTGTTCTGCTATAGTTTTAGAATTTAAATCCGTTACATTTTTTTAAAAATTAATTATTATTATTATTATTATTTTGTTACTTTTTTTTGTAATGGGACCTGCTGTTGTTGCATGATGTCCAAACCTGTATATTTTAAAATACAAATGTGAATTTGCTGTATTACTGTACACATTGTAATTGATCAAATATTTGACAACAGGCTTTCTTTTTCTTTTCTTTGTGAATACTACTCCAGGGTGCAGTCTGTTGAAAATCTGAATATATTTCTCACGACGTTGGGGAAAAAAATGCATGAGAATTTGATTTTGTCTTAAACCTTTTTCAGTTGTGGTTTTTGCGTCAGGCGGTGGGTGGGAGGTGTTGAACGTAAAACTTTTGACCGTGAAAAGTTGGATTTTTCTGCTCGTTGTAGTTTCTGTCGCTGGGCCCGTAGAAGAATGTTACCGAATGTGTTTCCGTCGGGTGCTGAAGCGATATGATGAAGCATTTTAAGCCTGTGTGTATATGCACTGATCTCTCTGCTGCGTGTGTGTGTGTGTGTGTGTGTGTGTTTGTGTGTGTGTTTATGAGTGTGTTTATGAGTGTGTGGCTTGGTTATTACCAGTCAATTTAAACCTACTGAAGATCTACGTCCACCCAGCACTTCCTCCTCCTGCTCTTCCTCAGGCGTTCAATGTCTCCACTGCTGTATGTTTGTTCTCCACCTCTAATGTGTCTGTCCTGTCTCCAGCTATAGACGTGGTAAAGCCATTTCCTAATTCCTTTTGCTCATTGGGCACTTACTTCAGGTCTGTTGAGTGCAGTTATACGGCTCTGGCTTGGCTTTGGCGTGAAGAATAACAGAGAAAAAAAAACGGAGCTGTCCTGCTGAAAGTGAAAGGGTTAGATATGTTTGTGCTGAATCCGTACAATGAAGTGATGTGAATGTGTTAACACGTCCATATGTGCGGGTGTGTGTGGGTGTGTGTGTTTTCCTCTTAAAACATAATCCTTACTCCGAGATCGATGGGAGAGAATTGGCATGCCTGAATGCACCTTTTTAAGCTAAAAGACAAGAAATCAGATTTTTTGCTGAAAAGATGCCTTTGTTAAAAAACAAAAACATTTCTGACGCTATGGAAGTATTTGATACTGTAAAGCATTGGGAAGTTAAAATCATATATAAATTCATGGAATTTATCAGAAAATGATATTATATTTTGATCATGTGATTGGAGAACAATTTTCTTTTGTATGTGAATGTTGTGTTCGAGTCGGGGGCTACACTGGTTGATAATCTTTCAGTTTTTTCAACTCTAGAATTTTGTTAGAATTTAAAAATAATGGTCAAGCGTTTTTTACAATCTGGAAACATTTGACACAGAGATAATTCAAATTGAACGCTCTACATTTCCCCTCACTCAGATATGTGTGTGTGTGCACGCCCCCAGTGATGTGCATGTGGTGGTGGGGGGCGGGGGGAGGGTGGTTGTCTGTGTTGCCCTGTCATCTGGTGGCACCTACAGGCTTTGCCAAGGCAACAGTGTGGGTGACATTGCGGCAGTTTGCACCGCATCGTCTCATTTCTCTTCTCTAAACGTTGTTCCTCCGCTGCATATGGGCTCACTCCATCCTGCTGTTGTTTTCATCATTACTGCTGTGTTTTTTTTTTTGTTTTGTTCTGTTCCTCTGGTTGTACTTGACCGCCTTAAACTGCTGTAGTCCGGGCTGTTTTTCAAATGTTTTATTTTAAAAGTGTGAGCGTAGGGGGGGGGAAGGAGTTGTGGGAGCGATGTCAACTGCTCAAGACGCTGTGAAGTATCCGCCCCGACGAAACATCTCCATCTTTTGCTGTGCTTACTTGAAAACAAAAGGGGGGGGGTTTATTTTATTTTTTATTTAAAGCAAGGTTTAAAAATATGATGTTCAAATGTCATAGACAGTTTATGGAAAAGGAAGATGGGGGGAGGGGGGGGGGGTGGGCGTGAAGTGACTGAGTCTGTTTTGAAAAAGGACAATCACTATCTGGGAAAAAACAAGCAGATTTTGATTCAGATATATTTGCTCCCTCTTGAGATTAAGAAATGTCTTTGCTTTTCTTTCATGTTCCTTTTTCAGATTTAGTCATTTTTAGCTTTGACAATCATAGTTGGGTTAATTATTTTTTTTCTCAAGGGGAGTAAATTCTAATTGTGTTTAGTTTTGTAATTTTTTGGTGTGCTGTTGTTGACATTTTTAAATTGTGTGCAAACTGCAATAAATTATAAGAATCTTGAAATTCAACCTCCTGTGTGAAGATCTATTTTTTTCTTGAAAAAAAAAAAAATCACGGCTCGTCTTTATGTCATTATGTATAATTTAACCAACAACAACTCATGTGTTTCTACTTATGTTAATGCTTAGCTTCTCCTCTGCCATAGCAAAACACAGAAACAACAGTATATACAAATTCAACATATTTTTAAGCACATTTTGATGTAGGGAAAATTCAGAAACTTTGGTCTTATATGCACCTCACACATGTACACACTACAGGTTGCAGCAGGGCGAGTGCAGGAGGTTTTCACATCCTGTTCCTTAGGGACTTGCAATGTGGGTGGAAGTTGTGTGTGTGTGTGTGTTTGAAAACTCACTGTGTGCTCATGCGTGCTTGCACACCTCCTGATATATCTGTTGCACTGGTTAAGGTGTAGGCTGCATCTGAGAAGACATTGTGCAACAGCTTGTTGAGATTCAACCCCCTGCAACACACACACACACACACACACACACACACACACACACACACACACACACACACACATAGCCTCTTACTAAAGCTCCTCAAGTACAGTTTTCCAGTAAAGAAATCAGCTTTAGCTAATGTATTGCTGCTCAGTAAACCTGTTCTTACAGATGCTTGAAAAGCCCCTGCACTCAGAGGCCAAGGAGCAGCGTTCATTAGGGCCCAGATGGTCTGTTCAGTAAGCCCCGACGCACACTCACGCGATAAGCTCACGTCTAATCTGTGTGACATTGTCTAATGAATGGCCAGTATTGGTTTAAGAAACTTCCAAGTGGTCAAAAGATTTCAGTTTGTTGTCCATTTCAGGAAGAGTTTTAACAGTAACAACTCACATGTCTTAAATTGGATGGGATTTATGTCACAGTAGTTCATCATGCCTTACAGAGATTTCTCAATGTCTAAAATGATGGGGAACATTTACTTTAGTTAAAATGTGCAAAATATTCAAAAAGTCAGTATTGTTAAGCTACCTGCCCTGAGCGGTGCTTTAAATCTCCATCCAGGCAGACAGCAGACATTATAATAGCAACCCTTCCCTTTGGTTATGCGCTGCTTGGTGATCATTAATTGCAATCTGCAGTGTTGTAAGTGAACATCTGCTTATAGACAACTGCTCGCGCGCTCTCCCTGCGAGGAGGCCGTGCGAGGTTTGTCGTGAATGTAGGTCATTAATTTGTTTCTGTCCTTTGTTTACTTAAGGAAGGGGGACAAAGGGGCAGCTGCAGAACCATTTGGCTGTGCCCAAGGCAGGCCAGCTCAACATGTTGGGAGGCTGAGACCAGCTTGGGCTCCTGTCTGGGGGCCCGGGCCCCTGCACTCTGCGGCTTCGCGTGAGGGAGCGGCCTCTGCCAAGCTGCCAAAGAGGGCTCCCATATACCAGGAGAGGGAGGAAGGGGGAGAGGAAGGGAGATAAAGAGGAGACTGTCATGTGGACTCGAAGCGTCCTGATGTTTGGCTGTTGCTCCACATTTTCAAACCAGTTTCCAGCTCATGTCTTTAAACTGACATCTGCAGAGTTTGGATGGGAAAACAATCTCCAGAATTTCTCAACAACTCTCAAGACAGATCATCTAAAGATCTAGATTTTACTTTTGAGAATGCAGGACACATACAGTATGTTTATGTATCTAAACATAGTTATTGTGAATAATAAGAACACAGTCAAGGATTGCCTAGTACAGTAGCCCATGGGTTTTTTTGTGCATACAAAATTGTAGACGAACAAATGTACAGTAATAACAAAGCTCGGTGAAAGCCCACAACAAACAGTATTCCAGCTTTTAGCCTTAACACGCCGACCGCCTTTTCAAAGCAATGCTAACAGCCTCCATTCAAAGCCTGTACGGCACACGGGGAGAAAAGCTTTCTGTATCCTTTTCATGTCGGGGACTTGTTGATTCTCCGTGAAAAAAGGAAACACTCCCAGGCCAGGTCTAGCCATGGAAGAATTGACGGAGGGAGAGGAAAGCAGAGACAAACGTGTGTGTGCGGGTGTGTATGTGTGTGTGTGTGTGTGTGTGTGTGTGTGTGTCTGTGCAAGTGATCGAGGATTGTCTGCATATTTAAAAGAGCCCCTTTGTCAGGCACTCAGCACAGCAGGACAGAAGGCAAGCAACAAGCGGCCCGCCTGCAAGCAGACAATACAGTGGCACTACACTGGCTGGGGAGGGAGGGCTGGGGGGGGGGCGGGGGAGGCAGAGAGGGGGAAATTATTTTTGGGAAAATCGGGGGGCACAGTGTCCCAGCAAGCCATCCATCCGTCCAGCCATCCAGCCAGCCAGCCAGCCAGCCACTGCACCCTCCTCCCCCTCCTGAAAACAAAAGGCGACGCAACTCGAACTTGAATATCTGTGTGTCTCTGTGAAAGGGGGCCCCCAAATACTACTTAACCATAACCCCCCCCCAACCCCCCTACAAACCCCTTCAAATACACACACACACACACACACACACACACACACACACACACACACACACACATACATATATCAACTCATAAGAAAAACTCAGATAAGACTGTCATTCAGCAATTTACACACTTGGAAGAGCGCTCACACACAAAACAACCTGGTTTGACACACACACACACACACACACACACCCACACACACACACACACACACACACACACACACACACACACACAAAAATACAAACACAAAGGCCTCCAGCTGGTCTGTCTTTAGGGCTGGGCTACGATGGGATTAAACAGTACTTGTCCTTTGTGTGATTCTTGTATGGAAGGAGAGCAGCCATGAACTCTCCACATAACAGTGAGAGAGACGTAGAGAAAAAGCACAGAGAATGGGATGAAGAGACATACATCTTTCAACCTGTAGGACTCATCTGAAGAGGATGCTATAAACAGACAAATTAATTGGATTTAAAGTTAAAGCAACAATAAAGCCCTGCAGAAAAAGAAAAAAGAATCCTCTTGTCATGCCATGCTCTCCCAGCTGTGTGTGTGTCTGGCAGATAAGGGGCATTACCAGGGCGTGTTCGGGGTGTTGTTGAAAACTGCTGGCATCGGGACACATGTGCACGACTCAGCACTTTATCATCGCCATGGTGACCTGACGGGGTCACGCAGAGAGGGGTCCTTTAATGTCACCAACTCAGCTGTCTGCTGTTAGAGGCGATACTGTACGTGTGTTTGTTTGTGTGTGTGTGTGTGATGCGAGTGCCCGACATCTGCTGCACCTGCCTGCTGAGCTGTACACATGTATGAACACGCATGCACGCACGAACACGCACGAACACGCACGAACACGCACGCATGCACGCACGCACGCACGCACGCACGCACGCACACAGACACACACACATACACACGAGAAGCGAGCAGTCAGCCAGCTGTGGTGCTGTGGAAGAGTCAAGTTCATTCTCCCCGTTGTGTCTATCCTCCTGCTGAAACACAGTGGAAACCTGATGAAAGAGACACACACACACAGTGGATTCTGGGTAATAGCTCATACCACTGTCAGCATGGTAAACTATGGGCCGTATCTAACCATTTTTAGTGGAATAAATCACAAAATTCACAGTAAAACAACGCTGCTAAGACGCAAAAGATGTTCAAATCAGCAAAACTAGGGAGCAGTATGTGTCTCACATCCATATGTCAGTTTATAATAACTTTTAACTTGCTGGAATTTTTCCATTTATAAACTTTGGTGTGGAGTTTTCCTGACCCATTTACATGTAGAGAAGTTTTTGAAAATCATGTAGCTGAAAACGAAAAGATGTGGTAAAAGAAAACAAAAAGAAACTGGTATCATCTTATCTCAACCTCAAAACAAAAATAATTCTGAAAAAGTGATTCAGTCATAACAACACATAACATGCTCAAATATTCACAGAACTAAAAGAGGTGGTGCAAAACGATAATTTTTGACTTCACACAAAGGAGGGACACTAACATCCACACTAATACAATACAATCTTAGTGAAGTGAACACTCTGGGAAGTGTTTTTAGAAGATATCTCACTCTATACCAACAAGTCTGAAAAAGCATATCACATGACCAATCATGCACTAGGGCTTGCACGTTTGTCAAGTGTCCAGAATAATGTTGGTAGCTTAGTTGCAGAAAATACTACGGATGAAAAACCTCAATGACGTAAATTAAGACCAGAGATTCTGTTGAGGGATGAACTATTACTGTAAGTGAAACGAGTATATGGTGTTCAATGCAACAGAAAACATTTATTGGGAGTCAAGGCTAATATGGGTTGTTCTCCTCATGAAAGGCTCACGTTGGTGAATCAGTGAAGACACGTGTTTACTGCAAATGTGTTAAAAAAAAAGTTCAAAAATCTCTGTTTTAAGGCTTTGCCATATGTGGATGCAAGGTTTCATATGTTATCAAATTGTTTCCTGACATTTACATACATGACTATTGCAGCTTAAAGGTGGGGTAGGTCATTTTGGAGAAACCAGCTCGAGATCGCTAAAATTTGAAAATACACAGCCGGGAAAAATCTGCCACTTCCTTACAGAGCCCCTCCTCCAACACACACGAACGCGCACATGACCAATGAGGGCACGAGATAAGTTTGTGCACAGATGGAAGGCTGACAGGCAGGTAGGCCATCCAGTTATTTTAGCCGGGCCGGCTAAAATGATTGGTCGTGCTTTTTACAGTACTACGGCTTCCACAGATGACATTTTGTTATGGATTTTTTGTCAAAGCACTTAAGATATTCATTGCTATCGGGATGTTAAGAGCATTCCATGGAATATAACAAAAAGTGTATCTCGAGAACTTACCTACCCCACCTTTAACTTTAAAGTGCTGTGCATGTATGAAGACAGTCCTCAGGTGATGTTGACATCGTCCATTGAGTTGCAATTCAGCAAAGATGATCTCGATTTCTAGCGTCGGATATCTTGGTTGTATTCTAGATTCTGACAGCATGTATTAGATTCAGCATGTTTAACTAATATCTTAGCCCGCCAACGCAGAAATTGAAAGCAAAAGCAGAAAACAGATTTGTG